ATTGCTTTGCATTGCTTTGCATTGCTTTGCATTGCTTTGCATTGCTTTGCATTGCTTTGCATTGCTTTGCGTTGCGTTGCTATTGTGGTTAACGTATCAAGCTGCCATTCTGCACTGTCACGGTTCGACTCCCGCTGGGGTTGTTGATAAGAGGTCGAAATCGCAGTCCGCTTCTGTCCGGATGAGAACAATCTTTGGGAAATCAAGGCTTTGTGAAATGCAATGGAAACGTCAGTTCTACTCATATCATTGTGGGAAAAATCTTCTTCTACCAGTCCTTCATCAGTTTAAACGAAATAGGGTGAATACATCTCATATTACTGATTTACTGGTAGTCTCGACACTACTCCAATACGAAAATGGCCATTGTTTGTTATGGCGACAAGGTGTCGCGGCACATGTGGTGGCTAACAGAATGGACCAGATCCTGTTTGTCACGTGTCTTATCGAGCATGCTACTACTTTGGGTGATAGTGTGCATGTGATTCTCTGGTGAATAGATTCAACCCAAGTATCGGTTGTATCTGCCAGGCGTCATCTGGTCCCAATGGAGCCTTCTAGTGGACTCTGTCCCCAGCATTTGTCGGCCATTCCAGTTGAATGACAATCACGGCGTAGGGCATAATTCCTAATTTCAGATAAAATAGGTTCTCGAGATTTTCAGAACTTTTACTCGTCATTCTTACGACTAGCCTAAGTTAACGATTCAAGCTGAAGTACATGCTTCAGGACTGGCATTCGCCATGGAATGACCAGATCACACCATAGTTCACAAACCTTCACATAAGCGTGTGAATGACAAGGAGCTCTATTATCTCCAATCCGATGAACAAGCCTCGCGTTGACAATAAATTTCGCTCAGCTCTGTCTCTCAGGCTGAAACGGATTAAAGATTCTGCCTAAAATGTGCTGGCACCGACGGGAATTGAACCAGGGTTGCGGTAGGACAACATATAATTTCGACCTTTTAACACCACGCCATCCTACCAGGGGTGCCGATGGGTCACAAGGCAGAAGAACATTTCTAGGCTAGCTAGGACTCTCCCAAATCACACTTTGTAGTAGGATTTTCTATAAAGCAAACATGTATTTGCCATTATAATCGACGACACTACTTACAATATGTTCAAAACCCTCCTTAATCCGAATATTTGGATGAGATGATTGATCTTCCGATTTAGTTGGCCCGACGTGTTTGTAGAAATGTTGATATGCCCTAGACATTTCTATGAAGTGGAAAAATAGATGAAAATCCAAAAAACACGATAAAAATATGGGCTTCAAAGAATCCACTGCATGAATCAATGTGACTTGACTTTTTTATGCTAACAAAGATTTGCTGAGTCTGGGTCCTATTCATTCTATTTAACAGCCCATGCTCTTTCACTATACGGTGAGGCCAACCGAATTTTCCTTACGACAAAAAATTCTATCCCAATTGACTTTATAAGTTGATCTGCAAAATTCACCATATAAGCTGAGTTTTCCTCTATTTTACCCGTTAAGAGGCCATTCTTAAAACATCGCAGACGAGACGCAAGCAGTTTATTCTGCTACTGAATCAAGTCTGAGAGAAATTTGGCAATGAATTTTTGATTTTTAGAGATCTGTTGCAATGAAGGGTAAGTTGGGACCTGGACGAGGGGCACAGAGGAAGTGTAAAAGTATGTTCAGATTAGAGCTCGTCTAAAATTAAATTCGTTTAACACCAACTCGTATTTGAGCGACGCCATGAATACGACGGATGCTTCCGTCATCTTTCCGCTTTTCGACAATTGCTCAAATGGCTCATTCTAGCACCTTATAAACTGACAATTGCACGCCTGAGTCTTGCTCACGTAAAAGTAAGATAAAATACGTTACTGGCAGCTGGACGGATTAATGTTTTGAACTGAACGAAAAATGGCGGCAGTAACCAAAAATGTGTACGTTTATAAAGAACCATTAGGGGCATTTACGTAATAGTAGTAGTGCTACCTACAATCAAAAACATCCATATATAATCTAAATATACAACTATGTATATATATATATATATATAGTTAGATTATATAGTTAGATTTTTGTAAATCTTATATTACTGTAATATTTCCAGCAAACGTAAATGCTAGAGTTGCGTTTATTAGACTACCAGTAGATCTTATACAATAGCTGTTTTCACGCTATTTCATTTAAGGTCAAAAGGAGTAGTCGAATTTTTCCACAATTATATTAATGTGCTTTACAGTTCTATCGAATTGCAAATGCTATCCACGTCTATGAAGGTGGGATGTCATTTCGGTTGTCATTGGCATCTGCAAAGTAGTGCTCAATTAGCATGGCTGTTTTAAATGGAATTTCCAGCAAATATTTTGAATCAGTCCTCTCGTCTTTTTCACTTGTCTCCGTTCAGTTGGGGATCGTAAAATATATCCGGGATGAATTCGGCTTGCGATAGTTGAAAAACTTTCCCGATGCAACGATCGCTCGTCGCCATCAAACCTGCATAGGACGATACTCAAAGGCATGATTTCTGTACCTTCAAGAAACTGGCATCCAGACTCTGAAAATATCAGGCTTGAGCATCACAGCAAGACCTTACAACATGGAATCTTCATCGGCAGACAGCTTTTGCGACCAACTCGGAAGGGCAGCCGAGCCGAATCGGTCCAGAGAAAGACTCCTTTCCGAGGCCAGAGTCTAGCTACTTTCACAGGCTGGTCTTTTGTCGATGCAGCCCTCGACGATTTGGTCTTGAAAATAATTTGTGCACTTCCTTTCTCACCATTAGCTCTTTAATTTCGTTCGAAGAGTTTGACGTAAAGGACTCGCTTCTTGGCTTCACCGGTTCCTTGAACGCTTGAGGGGACGTTCTCGATCTCGAGGAATCGGCGAGGCCTTTTATCTTTCCCACTGGTGCAGAAAATGTCACAGTGAGAAGTCATTCTTCAGCAATTTTCACACAAAAATAAGAGTTTTCGTCATCCAAGGCGACGAAAGACTGAGAGTCACGATTCCCTTAAATTTCACTTCGACTTGCACCTCAAAAGCTATTCTCACCCAGGCCCAATTTGACCTCGGTTTCCACCTCGCATGGGTCTCCTCCGCATCTCAAATGGGATTCGAACCAAGCTGGAGCAGCGTATGCTTTCTACGTGGTACCATTAAATAGACTTGAAGTTCAATGAAGGTCATTCCTTTCTTCTAACAAGGTTTTGTAGTGACTTTGTGGATTAGGCAAACTTGTATCTCATTGTGACGCAACTTTTCATTTGAAAGGGAAAGTTGATTGTAAGGACTTTTCGAATTGATTTCACCACTTAATCTGCTCATCACGTAGAACTGTCGACACATTTTGTGCTATTTCTAAGCCAACTTTGCCATATGAAGCTAAGACTGATCTTTTACATGTGTGTCATGATCTGTTTGATATTAGACTTAAGAAGTACCCTGCAACATTGCACTTATCAATTATAATTAAGACCGGTCTTAGGCAAATATTTCCTGAATTTCTTAGTATGCGAGATGGAAAGTGGGGTTTCGAGGAATCATCATCACGAACCTAAGCAGCACAGATTTTGTTTATAAATAAAAATGAGCTGTAAACATGTAAATTATGCAAAGAGTTGTAAAATCTTTTTCGAAAGCCGGCAGAGTTGTCCGATTCGCACTCTCTCTTGCTCGTAGCACCTGCTTTGCCTACTTTTTTTTCTTCGAGTTTTACGATATTTCACATTTTGCGAATTCACAATTATTCTATAAAGTCTGAGCATTGGAGCAGCTTTTAGCGATTTTCGTATGCTCCGAATACAGGCCACGCTATTCAGCCCCACAGTGACCATGCAATTGGGTGGGTTGACAGAGTGCAAGGATGGCTGATGATTAATGAAATTTTCTCAACATTTTTGCAGATTTCTTACTTGGGTCATTTCTGCTAGTGCCAGAGAAGCATGCGGACCTATTAGCGAGGTCAACTCATAAACAAGCCCAACTGGCGGGCAGAACGAATGGTCTGCTTGGGTCGTGCGTTTGGAGGGGATGAACAGGGCCCCTGAGAGACTGTTTCCTTCGGTCAGTCGGGTCGATTCGGTACCAACTTGGCGACCGGTTTCGTCGGTGGCGCGAGCGTGTGCGGGAGTTGCGTGTTTCGGAGTCGAAACTGCGTCAACAAGAATGTTCGCGTAAAGCTAATCATTAGCTGGTCAAGCGAAATCCGGCATCGTCTTCTGCTGGGATCGACCTTGGAATCTCTTTGCCGAACACTTTCACTCGAAATGGGAGTGAGTCAATCATTAACAACCAAAAGATTCTTCAGGATCCAACTTTCTTTCGCATCTACTAAATTCTTGTAGATACGAAGAAAAACTGGGTTTCGATGAATATCCTGAGATAACATTGTTAAAGGGACCTTCATTTCGTATGAAAGTGTATGAAGAAGAGATTCGTTGGTCG